ACATATCAAAACTTTGAGAGGGCCAGATATGAAAAACTCATGTCCAGGGATGTGCATCCCAGGACTGCTGATAATGTTGGAAAATGGAAAAGCCTAGACATGGTCCTCATGGGAGCTGATTCACAATATGGTGCATTCATGTGACAGAATACCCCACCACCTTCATGGATGATTTGAAGTACATGTATTAATATGGAAAGAGATGTATGATAAACTCGTAGGTAAAAATACAGATTATCAAAATATAAATAACAGTGTCCCATTGTAACAGGCAAACATTTTTTTCGCATAAGTATGCACAGAAAGAAGTCTGAAAGGAGATCTCGAAACTGGTTCTCTGTGGGCTTCGAGACTGCTGATTACTGATATTCTTTTTCTTTTTGTTCATCAGCAATTTCCTTTTCTATAAATAAACATGGATTTTTTTTTTTACATAATTATTTTTAAAAAACAGTAAAAGAAAGCAAAGCATGGTTTCTAACTTCCTGCAGTTGGTGCCCGAGGCACACGCTGTCTCTCTTGCTTCTTATCCCCCCTCCTCTGTACTTGATCTTCATTGTCCTGATACTGTCACTTTGTTCCAAATGCCATTCCTCTGTCTCCCCTAGCAGCCTGTTCTCAGACCCACAGATGCTGTGAGGGGGCGTGGAGGTGTAGGCAGCGGGTCCTGATGAGCACAGAGGCAGGAATTCTGGAATAAGGGTGTGAGCTGAGACACCAGCCAGCTCAGGGCAGAGAGGAACGAGGATGACGGGGCATCTGGCTGAGGCACAGCCCTCTGTGGCCGCTGGAATGGGGAGTGAGAGTGTATTGGCCAAGATCAGAGGCCAGACATAGGTCATACAGTTTGACCTCATGACGTCACTGTTTTCTCACTCCTTTCCCAGTGAACTTGAGACAGGGCCTAAAGCTCAGATCAGCCACGTCTTTGCAGGGTGTGGGGCCCAGGTGGTCCATCGGGAGAACTAGCTCTGGTTTCCCCACCCGCAGTGGATTGTGAAAGTCTAACCTCCCTTGAGGCTGTACTTCTCAGACTCCTTAGAGCTCTGGGGTTGTATGAAGCCACCAGACGGAAGAAACTGCACTTCAAAGGGGAAAAAGAAAAAGTTTCACAAAGAACAAATGAGTTCATATTTGTACAGCAGTTAAAATATATATATATATATATATATATTGTTTGAAGATTTGGAAGGACTTGAAGCTTTCAAATTCTCATATTACAGCAAACACAAACATAATACGGAGCAGAATGAAAATCCTAGATGAATTCAAATGTTAAGTCTCTGGAGACATTTTGTACTTCCCCTGAGACAGCGCTGTTTCAGGCTACCCTCCAGATCCCTGCACACATTCACTCCTCCTTGAGAAGCACTGGCTAAACAGATCACCAAAGTGTCTTATCTCCATGTCCCTAGGAGAGATCATTGACATCGAGGTCGGTTACAAAGCAAGGTGCATACATTACTGAATCTTCCCTGAGCAGGGTTTGATGGAGGTGGGGGGCTTAAGTACAGTCTCCCACGATTTCCTGCAATGTTAACGTCTCCAGTTGATCAAATTAAAATCAGAGCCCCAATGAAGTTGAAATGACTTGCCTAAGGTCACGTAGCTATTAAAGTGACAGGCGCTGGATGTCCAACTTAAAGCCAGTGCAGATGATAGTTAAGCCAAAGCACCTTTAAGAAACAAAGTGTTGGGGCACCTGGGTGGCTCAGTGGGTTAAGCGTCCGACTCTTGATCTCAGTTCAGATCTTGATCTCAGGGTCATGAGTTCAAACCCTGCATTGACCTACTAAAAAGAAAAAGAAAGAAAAAGTGTTTCCCAAGCTACAACAGTAGGATGCAAGAAACACGACGGAATGTGCTGTTAAAAGCCATCATTCTCAGGGGCAGTAATCAAAGGAGTTTTCATGTTCTACTTTCTATTTCCCTGTAGTATTTGGGCTGTTATAACCAATATATTTTTTTAACATTATTTATTTATTTGAGAGAGAGAGCGAGCAAGAGAGAGAGCATGAGCGGGGTGAGGGGCAGAGGGAGAAGCAGGCTCTCCACTGAGCCCACGTGGGGCTCGATCCCCGGACTCTGGTAACACGACCCGAGCCGAAGGCAGATGCTTAACCGACTGAGCCACCCAGGCGCCCCCAATATATTTTCTTAATGGTGGTTGCCCAAGGATATCAAAAGGTTCTTCCTTAGATACTACCCCTAAATAGCTTCCCTTGGTCTGATATCAAGCTCACCCAGCGACCTTCTTGATTATTTGGCTTTCCAAAGCACTGACTAGCAGAGGTGGGGTGGGGGGCACTAGCCACGCTGACATCACTGGGTTGTCCACGTGATTTTCTATTTCCCATTATAAATGAGTGCAACTCAACAAATGTTTCCTCCTCCATCCCCAACCCTTCCTAGGGTCTAGCAAACACAAAGGAGTAGTATATGATGCGAGTCAAAGCAGTGGAAAGACAGAGAGTCCCTTTGAGCTTAGGAACACACAGGCATTCGCTCACTCTTGGCCACGTACAGGCTGATTGTCTTGTCAATGCTTGATCCTGTGTCCAACAGCAAGTAAAGGCTTCTTTTTTTCATCTCTTGCTGTGTTACTCAGAAGTCTTTCTCAGGCAAGGGACAGAAATCCAACTTGAGCTGGCTGAAGAATAAAAATAGGGGTGGATTTTATAGGTTAATATAACTAAAAAATCCAAAGATAGAGCTCTCAGGCTGCAGGTATGGCTGGATCCAGGCGTTCAAACAGTGTCATCAGGGCTGTTTCTGACTCTCTTCTCGTCTTTCTTTTGTGCTGGCCTTACTCTCAGGCAGGTTCTCTGCACCCTGTGGTCCTAGCAGCCCCAGGTTCCATCCTCCAGTTTGGAGACCTAGCAGTAAGAGAAGCTTCTCAACAGAAGTTCCAGAGTTGAATCACATTGGCTTAATTTTGAATCACATTGGCTTAACTGTGTCTGAAATCAACTGCTGCAACCAATAGGGTAGAATAAGCTGATCAGTCTGCCCTGAATCACATCCCCTTCCCCCTTCCACAGAATGGGAACCATACATGGGGCACCTGGGTGACTCAGATGGTTAAGCATCTGCCTTCAGCTCAGGTCATGATCTCCAGTTCCTGGGATCAAGCATCACGTCTGGCTCCCAGCTCAGCAGGGAGCCTGCTTCTCCCTCTCCCTCTGCCTCTCCCCCTGCTTGTGCTCTCTCTCTCTCTCTCTCAAATGAATAAATAAAATCTTTAAAAAAAAAAAAAAAAGAATGGGAACCATACAGAGTGACAGTGGTCAGCGGTGGTTGCCTCAAAGAAAAACAGGCCCGGGGAGAAGGGAAAATGGATGCTGGGCATGGGGAAAAAACTGACACCCAGCGTCAGATCCGAGGCCCCCTTCAGCTTGACCTGCGGGAAAGCATTAGTGGAAAGACACACCCGATTGTCAAGCTGAGGGCCAAAAAGAAATACCTTGGCAGAGGTGAAATTTGGGGGATTGGGTTTCGGAGACAGAGGCCTGGGGGTGGGGCAGGGTGAAACAAGAGTTCCATGCCTGCCCCTTGGGGTGGAGAGAAGAGCTGAATCGAAAGAGCTGGACTCTGCGTGGACCTCAGTACGTGGCATGAGAGGTAAAGGCACGTCCGCCTGGAGTCGATGAGCCTACATGAGGCATTTTTTTGAGGGAGTGGATTGTGCCACCCCACCCTCTGATGTTCAGGGCAAAGTAGGGGGATCGTGTTTTCTTAACTGCATGTTGCTTACATCCATCAGTCCCACATGAGTCCTGGTACGTGGAGTCGGCTGCCTGGAGGCTACATGAGCTGGTGAGATTGAGTTCCTGGGAACCTGACCTTGGGTCCTGGTAGTTTCCACAGGGCCCTGGCCCCATGGAAGTCCACTTGGGAGGCTGCCAGCCAGCTTGCCCTGACCACACCCTGTCTTTGCTCCCGGGCCTCCCAGTGCCTCCCTTACAGGCTGGGCCGGGACCCCAGGAGACGGCAGAGGAGGGCCCCTGGCACGGGGCTTGGCTCACAGTAACCCCAAATAAAGGGCAGCGGCTCTTACGACCACTGAGGATGTACGTGCCTAGTGCATAACCAATGGAACTGATCATTAGTTATGTGGAGGCAAAGCAGGCCCCGAGCATGATGCTCGTGAGTCCGTAGCTGTTCATACAGCTGCTGGGACAAAAAAGGAACTGGCTACAGTAGCAGGTGCACTAAAGACCCATGAGCAGTTTGGGTTTGGGTTTTTCTGTGTCAGCCTGGGCTTTCTTCCCCCACCCTACCACCCACCACCCACTCAGAGTTTTCTTTCCCTTCACCTCTCCCTTTTTCACGAGGCCACCTGTAGGCAAATGTGCTCAGAGCACAAAACTGTTGTCCACCCATCTTGACATCTGGAAGGTTTTGTGTGAAACCTGGCTAGGGTGGTGTTTCTCAAAGTGGGTTCCCCAGGCCACCCATGTCAGCCTCATGATGAGATGTTTGTTGATAACTGTGCCTGGAGGTTCTTAGATCCCATCCAGACCTGCCGGCAGATCACAGCCTGGGGCCTAGAGATCTGCATTTTTAAAGGCTCTAGGGGTGGGGGTGGGGTGGGGATCCTAATGCATCTCAAAGCTCATCAGCCACCATCTCGCTGGTGCTCCCGAGGCACCTGGTCCCCAACAGGAAAGTCCTGACTCACGGTGTGGGCCCTGCCCCCTTCGGCCTTCCTATCAGGCAACTCAAGGTCTCCAGGCTCACGAGTTACTGATTAACCCCAGGTATCAAGAAAGGAAATAATAATAACTCGAGAGAAGACGTAAGCCAAGAAGCAGGCTGAGCAGCCCCAGGAGAAGGGGTGCTAGACGGCTGCTGTCACCAGGGGCCTGACGAGGAGGTGGGGGAGGCTGAGACGCCCAGCCTGAAGCCAGACCACATCCAGGTCCCAGCGGCGCTGGCAGACACCCCTTGTCCACGCCCAGGCCCTGAGCTGCCCCGTCCCCGCTGACTCCGTGCCCGGAATGGCCTGCGCCGAGGTCCTGCAGACGCCAGCCCCAGAGCAGCCCCAGCCCATCTCCGCAAGAGCCACCCCCACCACCCCTAAGGCCGCGGACCCTGCTGGGGGTCACTGGGGCTCCGCGGATGGCGACTTGGAGTGCCTGGTGTGCCGGGAGCCCTACACCTGTACCCGGCCGGCCAAGCTGCTGGGCTGCCAACACTCCTTCTGTGCCGTCTGCCTCAGGCTCCTGCTGTGTGTACGGGACAACACCTGGTCCGTTACCTGCCCACTGTGCCGCCAAGCCACCTCCGTCCCCGGGGGCCTCATCTGCAGCCTGCGTGACCAGGAGACCGTAGGGGGGCAGCTGGGCCAGCCGTGCCCGGAGGTGCAGCTCTGTCCTCAGAGGCTGGCAGATTCTGCCACCTCGGCAGCGTGGCCCCCCGGCTTGGTGGGAGAGGATGGGCAGGATGTGGCCAATGCCAACCGCGTGGCAGCCCGACGCCTGGCGGCACAATTGCTCCTACTGGTCTTGCTCATCATCCTCATCCTGCCCTTCATCTACCCTGGCATCATCCGGTGGGTGCTTGCCTTCGTTATCACCTTGGCCCTGCTAATGTCCTCCCTATTCTGTTGTCACTCCGGCAGCCAGGGCAGGCGCTGGCCCTCCCCGGGGACTCTTTTCTGCAGAGGACGGAAACACAGTGAGATCTCTTCCATTGCCTGAGTGCGCTCCAAAGAGACGGCACCTGCGGCCTCTTGGGCCCCATTAGGCTCACAGTGAACAGGTGAAGAGGCTCTGAACTAAGGCTGCTTCCCTTGGGGGATTAAGTACCAGCTGGACTCACAAGCCAAAGCCAGGGGGCTGCGTTGGGTCAAGAGCTATGTGCCTGGATGATAGGCTTATGTCTGCCTAGGGCATAGCTCGTGCCTGGATGATAGACTTATGTCTGCCCAGGGCATAGCTCGTCTAAACCGTGCGGAGTCGGGGAGGGGCCACAGATTACTTGAACCCCACAAGGGGCCTCCTGTTCCTCTTACTCTAATGTTCCTGGCTTTCCTTTATATACGTTGGTGAACTTATTGCAGAACAAATAGAACCAAGACTCCTTTTTTGCAATTTATGTAGCTGGTTTTATGTTCTCGCTTTGTTTTGGTTTGGTCTTTTGTGTTCGGGGCAGTTTGTTCAGTTTGTTTTCCTCCTGGGAAGTTGGAGCCCGCGGGAACCCTCCTGTGCTGCCCGCCTCGTGCCCATCCACCTCGGCAATGGTTCTGGTGGTTTGGGTGTCCCCCTGAGTCGCCCCCAGGGATGGAGGGGGAGAATTTGTGGGAAGGAGTGGTTCTGAGGCCGCCGGGGGTCCCACATTGAGTCGGCAGAGTTGGGGAGGGGTGAATGAAGGGGAGTCTGGGAATTGCTCTCAGCACCCCCACTGGATTGCTCAGCCCCATGTCATTGGGCTCTGGCTTCACAGAGAATCTCAGGGCTACAAGGACTCCTCTCACCCCCCGCCCAACAGCAGGTCCCACTGCCCATCAGATGTGCGGTCTCACGCTAGAGTACCAGCTCTCTACGGGTGTTGCTTTTCCTGTATGATTGCATTTCAATTCCCATCTGAGCTTTTGTCTTAAAGATAAGAGGCCCCATAAATGCAACAGTTCTTGACAATAACCCTACCTCTCCCACCTCGCTCTGACAGTCACAGCTGTCTGAAAGGCTGCTCTGGAACATAGAGGCGGCTTCTGCTGGAGGGAACGACTTTCCATGGTTGCCAGGATCGGGTCTCAGCCAGAGGGGGGACTTGGAGGATTTAGAGGGGGTGGGGGGTGCAGGGGGATTGGAGGGTGGGAGATGATGCCTTGTTTCCCTCCAAAGGCCTCATAATTGGGAAGCAGACTTGAAACCTCAGAGGGGCTCACTGGGCAGATCCGTTGTTCTTTCCCTGCCCCACCTTGCCTCCTGGGAGGAGGAGAGGTGCAGGATGGGTGCTCGTTCACGGCGATTGTACCTCTGTCAGAGAGGGACGAGAGAAGTCGACCACTAGAGCCCAAAGGGATGATCCTGGCCCCGTGGGTATGTGTTGTCCAGCAAAATCCTTTGCCTCTCTGTGTTTCACTTTCCCTGGAATGAGCTAATTAGACCGGATTATTCCTAAGACCCCGAAGTCCAGGAACTGAGACACTGCTGGGCCCCTGAGCAGGGCACATGAGCCACATCCCCTCTGGGCTCACACAGAGAAAACTCAAAACATAAGGATGTATGCAAATAGCTGTTCTTGGAATCTGGGTGCCTTCCCCTGTTTCTTGTAAAGGTACTTCCAGGGCAACTCTGGGATACCCACGCTATCGGCCATGTTTACTCCTTATGCTGAGAGTGTGTGTGAGTGTGTGTACGTAGGCATGTTCCCACGCTCTTAAGCCAAGGCCAGGTGGGCCTGAAGAACACCCTGTCTTCCCAAGATGAGCAAATGACGGAAATCGTTCAGCATTTCCCGAGCTGGCCTCGGGCATGTACCGTTTGGGATGGTTGCCAATAGGATAGGGAAAGAACATTCTCTCCCCACTCACCTCCACTCACATCCCATCTAGTTCTTGGGCCCTCCACCAAGAAGAAAACCTCCACCAAGATTTCAGTTGCCTATGACAACCCCATTTCTACCATCCTAATGGCAGGCGTGTATTTACTGAGTTCTTACGTTGTGACAAGCACCACCCTAACTGCTTCACATGAATTATCTAGCTGAGTCTTCATAACAACCTAATGAAGTAGAAATTATCTTGCCAAACAACAAATGTTGGAGAGGTTGTGGAGAAAGGGGAACCCTCTTACACTGTTGGTGAGAAGGCAAGTTGGTACATCCACTTTGGAAAACAGTGTGGAGGTTCCTCAAAAAAATTAAAAATAGAGCTACCCTATGACCCAGCAATTGCACTACCGGGTATTTACCCGAAAGACACAGATGTAGTGAAAAGAAGGGCCATATGCACCCCAATGTTCATAGCAGCAATGTCCACAGTAGCCAAACTGTGGAAAGAGCCGAGAT